AAAAAAAAAAAAAAAAAAAAAAAAAAAGGAAGAGAACTTGGTCGTTGACAAAAAGGACTGAAAGCTTTCACACCCCTGCAATAGGGAGGGGAGGGGTAGAAACAAGAAGAGAGAGGAAAGGGGGGGCAAGGGGGCAATGAACAAGAGGAAATTCATCCTGACAGTCGAGTCGGACTTTGTCGTAAACAGGAACGGCCAATGAATTGGACCGCAATTACGGCCAGATACGAATGAACTAGACAACGATTGCGTCCAGAAACGACTACCGGTAGGCAAAATTCCGCATGAGCGTTATACCCTAACAGCAAGCGAAGGAATGGAAGCGATGGTCCGCATCCATCAGCAGAGCAGAGGGCAAGGATCTCGCCAGACTTGTAACTGACCTTAGATAATGCCGAGTGCACCTTCACACAGAAGCTGACCACATTCATCGGCCAGTATCCAAAGTGGCGGCTGTATCTAGTCACCTTCCATGTGAAGATGCATTCTACCATGTTTCATGGTTTCCCAAATGAGCAGCAAGGCGCAAACAGCGCGATGCAGGTACAAGCTTCGTAAGGAAGACGAGAAAGATGAAGCCAGACAATGGGAGAAAGAGAAGGGATGAAGAGAGAGAGAGAACAGATGGGGAGAGACAGAGAGAGAGAAGGGGGGGGATGGAGAGAGAGAGAGAGAGAGAGAGAGAGAAGCGATGGAGAGAGAGAGAAGGGGGGATAGAGAAGAGAGAGAAGGGATAGCGAGAGAAATGCAGACAGCAAGGAGATAACGGAGACATAACGAGAGAAGGAGATAACAGAGACATGACGGAGATATAACGGAGACATAAGGAAGACGATGAAGAGGGGAATGGACAGAGATCAATCGGTAGAGGACACGGATCGAGAAAGAGAAAAATAGGAAAAAGAAAAAGAGAGAGACAGAAGAGGGCGAGAGATCTATAGAAGCGAAGGCAAAGCCGAAGAGGGATGAAGAGCAAAGCACGGTGAGGGCATACTCACACTAGGGCATTCTCGAAGGACGCGATCCAATACACCCAGGAAACTCTAAGTGTGAACACGATCCAAAACATCCAGGAAATTCTAAGTGTGAACACGCCCTGAGCAAGTGTAGTGACGGGTAGAAGGTGAAGGTAGAGGTGAACCTGGAGGTAAGGGCCTACGGTAGTTGCACCACTCGCCAGCCAGATCTTGAGTGCATCTGGACAGCGCTTCTGTCCAGATGCATTCAATATCTGGGCCGATGGCGGGTGGTGCAACTACGCCCTAGAGGTAAAGGTGGAGGTGAAAGTGAAAGTGAAAGTGAAGATGCAGGCGAAGACGACTTGCTCGTTTGCACTCACCCCACCGCGTGACACCAACTCTCCTCCTCGATCGCCTCTAATTGAAACAAACTTCGACCATCATTTCGACCGAGGCCTTCCTCCTTCTTCCTCCTTCGTGTTGCACGAATTTCAGATTGCGCGGACAAACAGACAAAAGCTTTGTCGCTAGCACTACGCCCGCTATAAAGCTCGTACCCGTGTCTGGGCCTCGCCACACCACTCTCGAAATGTGGAAAAGACAAAAATGTGGCGCGCGGATCTGGTCATGTTCTAGCGGGAAGATCATTCTCATTTTGCACAGTTCGAGAGTGGTGTGGCGAGGCCCTCTGTCTGCTCGAGGGCCGTTGTTCCTTGGGATCTCGCCCCTCTTGTTGCCTGTTGAACTAGTACAAATTCCTTTGTCGCGTCCTTGAGAAATGCCAAATTAGAAAAACAAAAAGGAACCAAAAAAAAAAAGAACCAAAGAAAAAAAGAAAAAAAATACCGAATTTCAGTCCTTGGGATCTCGGCCCTCTCGTTTCTTTTTTTTCCCGAAAAGTTTTCGAAATGCCCCTGAAGTTGTCGTTTATTTGCGGCGTGCCCCTCTCACGGGCGACACGCCTTGTCGCGCCCCTCTGACGACGAATGATGTTTCCAGAAAACCCCTTGCGTCGTTTGGGCCTAAAAATGTTTCATATGCCCCTACCGGTACCAGTACAAAATTTTCAGTATGCCCCTACCGGATGGCCGTTCAGAACCAGTACAAAAGTTTCCCATATGCCCTTATTGGTACCGTCCATCTTTCCAGCGAGCCCCTGTGGCCGTTGTTGACACTCGCAGTCTTTCCCCTGGCCCAGGGAGAGATGCTACCGGGGCATATCAGAAGTTTGGCAATGAGAATGGACACACACACACACACACACGCACACAACACATATACACACACGCGCGCGCACACACACACACACACACACACACACACACACACACACACACACGCGCGCGCGCGCGCACACGTGCACACAACACACGTATACACACACACGCGCGCACACACACACACACACACACACACACACACACACATACAGACCGTTTTTCCGTGGCGGCGCGTGAAATGCCTACCACATTGAATTCAAATTCCTGCCACCACTGCTGCAAGGGCATCACAGAAACATGTGTGCCCCTCGTGAGGGCATTTCAAGGACCGACCGATGAAATGCCACTAGCGGTCCAGTAAGGACATATCGGAAAGTTACGCCCCATGCCGACAGGGGCCTGCAGAAAATTTCAGAGGCCCGAGGGGCACCACAGGGTAAGTCGGCCTTTACAGGGGCACGCCACAAATAAACGCAAACTTTGGGGGCATTTTGAAAATTTCCATTTTTATGTATAAAAAGGGCGACGGCCTTGAGATATCATCATTAAACTGACCGGGGGCCAAGTCCCGCTAACAGCGTTGAGCTACCTCAACGCCTGCATCTCGACGTGTTTGTGGAGACGTGCAGTTCAGGAAACTCAACACCATTTCTGCACATCTCCGCAATAACATCCAGGCGTTGAGGCAGCTCAACGCTGCTACTGTAGTGGGACTTGGCCCCGGTCAGTCTAATGATTTTATTCTGGTGATCTGATTCTATCTGGATTCAAACTTGGGTCTGTATTTAACCAGTTCATTGGTGTACCAACTCAGCTAGGCCCATTGGACCCCGCTTGTTTCCGTTTGAAACCTCTCCTTTTCCCCAAAAAAAAAACAGAAACCCTATACCCTAACCATTAGGGGCAACGGGCAACATGAAATCTCCCCTTCACAGAGAGAGAAAACTATGTTTGCAGGGGTCCCATCTAGATAGTCTTAGGAGTAGGTAGTGGAAGGTAAAGACACAGAAGTTGAGAGAAGAATATAGAAAAGAAAAGAAAAAAAATATGGAATGTTTCTGAAGGGGAAAAAAGAAAAAAAAACAAATTTTCAGTCCCGGGGCCAAGTCCCACTAGCAGCGTTGAGTTACCTCAACGCCTGAATCTGGACGCTTTTGCGGACATGTGCAGAAATGGTGTTGAGTTTCCTGAACTGCACGTCTCCGCAAAAAACGTCCAGATTCAGGCGTTGAGGTAGATCAACGCTGCTAGTGGGACTTGGCCCCCGGTCGTGGGAACTCCCACCCTCACTTTCCCAACGGGCCTTGGCAAGCTGCCTGAACTGCGCTTTGGGCCCTCTTCAAAACTATAAATGAACAGCCGCGCTGAGCGTGAGGTTGTTGGTCGAATGGCTCCCATTCAATAGAGCTATGGATGGTAGAACTACAGAGTCATTCCCTTACCTGGCTGGGTCTGTCCATCAGTAGTATTCATAGGGAAAAGCATCCCATTTAGGATGGCCTCATACCTGAGGTTTCATGTGCGACAAATGAAAGAAGACAGCAATAACTGCTAACAGGAAGTGTTTCCCTTCTCTTGGCTAGGTCTGCCCATCCCCAGTCTTCGTAGGGAAAAACATCCCATTCAGGATGGCCCCAGACATGAGGTTTCATGTGCGACAAATGAAAGAAGACAGCAATAACTTCTAACAGGAAGTGCCAGCGCGGGTTGGCTTGCATCGAAAAGGAGCATGTTGAGGAATAGACTTTTGGGAGAGCAGTATGTAGGTGGTATGTATAGAAAAAAATATAAGAGCAGGTAGTTTTTCATTAGAAATGTCAACATACCTTCACGGTGAAGCACTGTCTGTTGAATACAGTGTCGTAGTTTCACCTAGTACAGAGTCTATAATAATATCATTTACCCAGTTGATACTATCATTTTTTGGACAAAGGACAAAACGGCATAAAAGGTAGTCTATGTCACCGAGATGTTGGTATACATAAAGAAAAACCATTCAATGAGTTCAGAAAGTGTTACTCCAGTGTCGATCTCCTCGAGGACCTCAATGATTTGTTGGATCACAACGAGATGAGCTCCTATGGAGACCTGCAAGAGGAAGTCGAAAAATCTTTGACCAGCTTCATCATTCCCACGACGCAAAACTCACATATATTCTTCAAAATTATGGGTAAACTACCAAAGGTGGGATAATTTAATGCACTCATTTCTTCTATTTTACTGCTGCGTCTTACAACAAGGACTACCTGTCTGGAGTCTCATGTAGGAGAATAACTTTCCTACAAAAAAACAAATCAAAGTCACAAGTATTTCTCAAAGTGAATACAGTACCTCGAGATGAGGTCGATGCGTCATTAGATTCTCATTCCAATACAATCAGTAAAGTTCGTCTACTGAGGATTGCAAACTCATTTTATTTGCGAATAAGAAAATGTTTTTTATCATCATACCCCTTAAGTAGCATTTGCCGCGGGGGGAGGTCGATGTTTCGCTGCACGCCGGATTTGGGATCGAAGTTTTGAGGAGGGTCGGCGGATAAAGGTGATCCAAGGCGGGGGAGTGTGCAGAGGGGCACGCGTACCACAATGTTCACAGCGCGTCATTAAACAAGTGAGCACGCCCACAGGGCTGGGCGGCGGCGGACGTAGATGTGAGGGAATATCTTGAAGCCACTGCCGGCGATAAGAGGGCGACCTTTTTTTCTTTTCGCATTTTAGTTTTTAGCCTGTCGTTTTTCGCTTTTCGTTTTTGCTTTTCTTTTTATTTCGTGGTCGGCGTGTGGTTCCTCTTTTTTTTTTTCTTTTTTTTTTATACTTTTTGTTTTTTTTTTCTCTTTGTTTCTCGGTGGATGTGTTGGTGGGTGAGTCGTTATATCATTTTTTTTATTTTTTTATTTTTTTCCTGGTTGGCATCTCGTTTCCCGCTTTTTGGTTGCGGGCGTAGGCCACACCGTGACGGGCACTACGCTAGTAAGGTATTAATGGCGCTCGGAACCTTAAATAAAATATTATGCCTTCTGGAAGTAGTAATAATGTTATTCAATTTGAGGCTACGGCAAAAACAATACAACCTTCATGGCTTTTAACACCAACGAGTATTGTATTGATGCAAAACAATTCACCTATACCAGCATGTGCATTAACAAAAGCATGAAACATAGTTGTATTAAACACAATATTGACTATGCCTCCTACAAATATTTATTTTGATGGATGAAGAAGAGACATATGATGACTCCAAACATTTTTTAGCTCATCCTCATTATGTATTAGTTCCTTTTGAATAAGTTTTTATATACAAGTAAATAATAACTCACTACAAAGTTGTTTAGCACATGATGAAATAATTTGATAAATATTTTTTTGAACATAATCTTCATATATATTTTCCTAATATTTATAAAATAGAGTCTTAGGGTCGGCAACATTATCGTATACTGGCAATATAGCAAAAACGTATTGGATATGTGATGACATAAAATTATGAGCGTCCGCACCCATGTCTTCATCATACTCAAAATCATCCGAAGGTAGTAAGCGTCGAATCCGACAATACAAATCGTCTGTTCACGATAAATTTTTGGAGAAACATCTTCTCGTTCGATTTTTTCAGGTTTCCACTTTCTTTGCTTAGTATGCTAAGCATGTGTATTCCTTATTTCAAAATAAAGTCGATAGTTTTTTTTTGGGGTATATTTTCCTTACATGATTGACTTTCATCCATGTTGTCAACACTTTCCTTTTCACCGGATTCTACGTAAACATGCTCATTGTCCAACATATGTGAAGGTAATCGTTTTACAAACGACTAATGTTGTGTAATTGAAAATTCAAATGTATATCGACATGCTTTGCTAGCATCAATACAACACAAATCCCTTTATTTTGTTATTTCGTTGCGTTAAGTTTGTTGTTCGAGTTTGACGACCATAACTATATTAGAGTCCTTAAAAACATATTTGTATAAGTTTTTACATGTAAGGATATTTACACAATACTCTGCATCAGGGTCACCAACCCGTACGTACGGAGGTCCCCGGGCAGACCTCCGTACGTACGGGCGTTCGGGGTCCCATATGGAGTCCGAACCCGACAACGTTAAGCCCCCGCCAAAAATTATTTCGGAGCCTAAAAATAATTATTTTTTTCTGAAGTTTTTTTTGTGAGTTCTCTATGACGTGATGTACATGCCTGTAAAGTTTCAAGTCATATAGCTAAGCCAAATAAGAATTAAAAATCGCCAAAGATGGCGGTGTCAAAACGTGCTTGCCCACATATTTTTCCACTTTTTACTTTTTGTTTTCACTTTAGTTCTTCTTCTTCAAAACCACAATGAAGTTCCGCATTCACTTCTTCATTGACAATGTTGTTACCCCCCCCACTGTCATCCGGTGCAGCGTCCTCCCGTGCGGGGCTATCGTTCCCTGCTTGTCCGTCGTCATCATTCATTCTACGAGTCGTGGACGAGGGACATGCTCTCGCTTTGTGCGAGTTCAATGTCCTTAATGACATAAAAGGACGACCGTATTCACACACCATCCGCTCGTCCATCGTGTGCACTGTCTTTGTTAAAGGATATAAGATTTCGTCACACCCGCAATGTGAAACTCGTTGCAGGTCAAAATAATGTGAGACTTATTACTTGCCGTCGCTCCTCCTTCCGTTTATTTTTTGTCTCACAACACACACGATAAGAAAAGACACGTTCAACATTTCATACACACGACTCCGCCACGTTCATGATTCGTGTTTTTACACAACTCACTGTAATATATATATATATATATATATATATATATATATATATATATATATATATTTCCAATGTTTTCTTCAAGTGTTCATTCTTTCTTCCGTAACATGTCACTGCTGTACGAAACACCATACCACCAACATGATGGAGAGAGAGAGCGAGAGAGAGAGAGAGAGAGAGAGAGAGAGAGAGAGAGAGAGAGAGAGAGAGAGAGAGAGAGAGAGAGAGAGAGAGAGAG